TTGCGGTATGGACACTATCATTTTTGGGGCACAGCATTTCAAGTGCCGGAGTGCAGCCTCAGAAGGACAAGGTGGAAGCAGTACGGCAGTTTTTACAGCCGAAAAACCTCCGCCAGCTTCGAGAGTTCCTGGGACTCGTGAATTTCTACTGTTGGTTTATCCCGAGATGCTCCAACATTCTTCACCCTCTCTACAGCCTACTTGTGGCATCTGGATCTAAGGCAACTGCCATTCAGTGGAACGACCAATCCACACAAGCATTCCGGATGATTAAGGAAGCTCTCGCAAATTCTACCATGCTCATGTACCCGCAGCTGGGTGTTCCTCAATGCGTCATGGTGGACGCCTCGGATGCAGCGATTGGAGCCGTGTCGCAGCAAAGGGTGAGCGGAGTGTGGCGACCAATTTCCTTCTTCTCCAGAAAACTGAGCCCGTCCGAACGAAGGTACAGCACCTTTAGTAGGGAACTCCTGGACATATACGCGGCTATCCGGCATTTCCGACATTATGTGGAAGGACAAGAATGTTTTGTTCTCATGGATCACAAGCCACTCACCTACGCATTGCACGTGAACTCCGATTCGGGTGCGCTTGTGGCACGGGAACTCCGCCAAATGTCGTACATCGCAGAATTCACGACAGATATACACCATGTTAATGGCACGGATAATGCTGCTGCCGACGCCCTTTCACGCGGTCCAGTGAATGCCATCAGCCTGCCGAGCGGCGTGGACTTCACCACACTTATGACGGCTCAATGTAGTGATGGAGAATTGAAGCGCCTACTGGCGTCTTCAACCAGCATCTTGAAGCTGCAATGGTTGGCAGAACCCACAGGATCCGTATGCTGCGACATGTTTACAGGCAGGGCCCGACCGTTCGTCCCCTCGAACCTCCGTCGCAGCATTTTTTACTTGCTGCACAGCCTGGCGCACCCCGGGATTCGAGCCACGCAACGGCTATGCACAGCAAGGTTCGTGTGGCCAGGAATAAACCGGGATTTCTGACAATGGACACGAAAGTGCCTCGCATGGCAGCGCTCCAAAGTTTAGCGACATACTGTGACCCCTTTGGGATCCTTCCTTCTGCCGGACTGTCGATTTGCCCATGTGCATGTTGACATTGTGGGACCACTGCGGTTGTGTCAGGGGCAAAGCTACTTGCTAACCTGCATCGATCGCTTCACGCGATGGCCGGAGGTCGTGCCCATTCCAGACATGACTGCTGATACCGTCGCCCGCGCATTTATCTTCCACTGGGTGGCCCGCTTTGGAGTGCCGGCAACCGTGACTACGGATCGTAGAACACACTTTGAGTCCGCCCTATTCGCAGCGTCACCCGGCTCTTAAGTACCTCCCGCATCAGAACATCATTCTACCATTCGATAAGCAACGGTATAGTGGAAAGGTTCCATCGCTATCTGAAGACGAACCTGACGGCTAGTGCAAGTCGCAGGTGGGTAGAGCACTGCCGTTTGTTCTGTTGGGTGTTAGGATGGCTCTGAAAGCAGATATTGGATGCTGTTCTGCTGAACTGGTGTATAGAACAAAGCTTCACCTCCCAGGGGAGTTTTTCCCCACCAGTAAGGACGAGAACGTGTACGCAAACGCGGACTACGCTGTGCGACTGCGAGGCATCATGAGCAAGCTACGTGCTGTTCCTCCGCGTCCGCCCGCAGCCCGGTCAGTCTACGTGGACCGGGAACTCTCCTCTTGTTCTCACGTGTTTGTGAGGCACGACGCCGTACAGCGTCCACTCCGGGCCCCGTACGACGGGCCTTTCAAGGTACTGCGATGAGCAGACAAGCAAATTACAATCGACAGAGGTGGTCGTCACAACGTGGTTTCTCTAGACCCCGTAAAACCAGCCCACGTGGACTCCGACAGCGAAGCACCTGCACCACCTCGAGCTCCTTCGCGGGCACCCCCGCCTGACCACGCAGCGCAGCTCCAACAAGTCCTCAAATGGTCCATGCGGAGTGGATGGTGTAGGAGACCTCCGGTGCACGTGAACTTATGAACCGCAGCGGGTCGTCCGAGTGCGGTCGTTGTGGGCGCACTCACTAACTCACTAGGGGGGAGTCCTGTGGCGACGCAAAGCGGCGCTTCTGTCTGCGGGGCAGAGAGCGCATGCGCCCGCACGAGAAAGTTATCAGTTTGATGCGACAAAAGGTCCCCCGCGATCATTTTTTACACATTAGAAAATGGACTCTCTGTCGAAGAACAGACTTGCGTGCAGTTAGGGCAACGCACATCATTGGAATACAAACCTGAGATGACGCAATCCTCAGAGGGTGTCTACGTGGGGAGGGCTATTCCACACTGAAGCACTTGCGGACACAGAGCTAAGTTCAGCAAGGGGATGCAAGAATGGTTTTCCCGTAACGTAATAATAGTGTGCGGAAAAGTAACACTGTGAGTCAAAAGTACGGATGTAATGGGCGTGAGCACGTAGTCTCCATCAGGTACAGGTGGCAACGCTGTTACGGCAATGCAGGTAACTGTTTGCGGTGACAAACGGACATATTCAGCAGAGCAGAGACGAACTTGGGGCGTACTGGGCGTATCATTCGTACAGGGCAGGTCAAGTTGCACCGTGCTAGCTGAACAGTCTATGAGTGCCGAATAGGCGGGCAAAAAGTCTAGACCGAAGATAACATCATTGGTGTAGTTGGTGAGAACAGTGAAGAGGACGGAGGTTGGATGGCCGGCTATAGTAACGCCTGCTGTGCAGACACCAACGACGGCAGCTGCACTGCCATCAGGCAACATGAACACAGCGTGAAGGGTCTGTAGTCAAGACTTTCTTTAAGCAGTCACGAATGTGCGAGCTCATAACAGAAATTTGGGCACCAGTGTCCACTAAAGCTTTAACAGATAAACCACCCATTTTACATCAATCAAGTTCTGGTTGGTCGGGAGGGTCAACAGAGGAATTGTAGGGCAAGTCGTAGCAGCAGCGTCACCTCCAGGAGCTGCACCAGTTAGTTTCCCGAAGGAAACCGTTGGGTGGAGGATGGGGAATGGGGTGGCGGGGGAGACAGGGAGAATCTACGTCGCGGTGAAGGCAAGCGGCTGTACTGGGCATTGGTCGCGGTGGTCATGTCGTAATGAGCCGAGTCATTATGGCGGGGTGGTTCTTGGCCAGAAGGGCGGGCTGATGCGTCGAAGTTCTTGAAGTTTGGGCTTGTGCGCAAAGGCGAGGTCCACGTTCTTCGGCAGTGACGTGAAATGTGTCCCACTCGTTCGCACCGGAAGCAAATTGGCCTGTTGTCAGGCGTCCTCCATGCGTTTGGATCTCTGTTACGTGGAGCAGGACGCCGGTAGTGCTGACGGGTGTTCAAGGTAGGCGGATGGACATCGGGTCGGTGCACAGATCAGATTGTCTGAAGGCCCGCGTTTGCCAATTCTTGGCGCACAACGCTCTGTATGAGGGATATGGTGGGCTGAGGATCATTCGGCGTCGGGACCCTCAAGGGTGCTGCTGACATCGCCTCAATTTTGCGTCAAACGACCCTCGTAATGTCAGCAGAGGATGGATTGGGCTGGGTCTCAAAATGGAGTTTCTCACAAGTTGACGTTGCAGCGGTGTTAGGAAGACGAGTGAAGTGGTGGGCAATGCGACGGCTTTTAGCCTCTTGAAAGCGTAGGCACTCCTTAATGACGTCTCGAACTGTCGAACAACCTTTGAATACAAGGAGGCTAAAGGCATCATCAGCGATGCCCTTGAGTACGTGCGCAACCTTGTCGGCTTCGATCATGGTGGCATCAGCCTTACGGCAGAGGGTGAAGACATCTTGAATATAGGCCAGCTAAGACTCCGTGGATGTCAGGAAACGGTTTCCAAGTTCTTTCTTAGCGGCCTGCTTGCATCCGGCAGATTGGCCGAACAACTCGCGCAACTTAGTCTTACAGACGTCCCAGCTGGTGAGCTGTTCCGCGTTGTTGTTGAACCACGCCTTGGCCGTACCTTTCAAGTAAAAGATAAGGTTTGCTAGCATCATGGTTGGGTCCCACTTGTGGCTTTCACTCACGAGCTCGTAGAGTTGATGCCACTCATCGAAGTCTTTGCCGTCAGTGCCCGAAAAGTTGCCAGGATCGCGGGGTGGAGTGGTCACAATGACCACCGGTAAGGTGGGCGCTGTTGATGCGCGAGACATGGCTGTTGTCACAGCATCCCTGTCGGTAGACATGTTAGAAGCGGCAACTTGGCATCCGCTGGGAAGTTCCGTCGTGCTTTGCAACCCAGCACCTTTCACCAAATGTTACAGGGGGGCACCCAGAGAAACGAGGTGACAGTTGTGATATATTTGCACGACGCCAAGCCGAGATGGCAAGCGAGAGCGTACCCCACATCCCAGAATCACGTACTCTTTCTCCCTGTCTGTCTTGCTTCTTCAGCGTGATGTCTTGTGACAATATCGTCGGCCATGTTGGTTTTCGAGTGTGTTGTGCAGCCGTGGAAAGTTGTGTAATGTGGCCGCGTTTATATCGTAGGAGCACCCTGTTACCCATAAAAATTATTTTAGGGGATACACGCACGTTACATACAAGTTTTAATATATTTTTATTTCTCCCAAAGCCACGGCTCCGGAGGGCCAATGTCATGGTCATAATTTCGAAATGACATTTGGTTTCTTCGTGTGATAGCATGCAGGTAAAATGACATCAGGTCCGCCTAATGTCATTCATTGTAAATGACATGAGATTTGCCGTGTGACAGGGGTATTAGTTGCAGAGGGATTTGCTTGTGCTTGACGTTTTGCTAAAAGTTTACCAAGCAAATGACCTCTTTTTTTTTGATACAATAATTGGATACCATTCGTCCAGATAACATGGGAATGTTCGTGTTTTCACCACTAAAGTATCTACAGTTACATTTTTCATTGCCTTCCACTGGGGTATCTCGTCTCATATCAACATTTTTACTGCACTGTGTTTAAAAACTATTGTATCTAGGTTTAATTAGGCATTATGTTGATGCCACTGAACTTATTGCAGGCCCACTCGAGTCGTGGCCATGGACTGTGAAATGGTTGGCGTTGGCCATGAGGGCAAGGACTCGATTCTCGCTCGTGTCTCAATTGTCAATGTCATGGGCCACGTGATCTACGATAAATTTGTCAAGCCCACAGAGGAAGTGGTTGACTACCGGACGGCCGTGAGTGGCGTGCGACCGAGTGATTTGGAAAAAGGCCAGTACTTTGCACCTCGCAGCAGGCATGGAACTACTGCACACAGTCCATATTCTGGGGCATTGCTATATAGTCTCTTTGCATCCTGGCACTACTTGGTTTGCTTATTTGATTTTGGTTTGCTTATTTGCATCGATTCAAATATTAAGTGAGAAATAATGTACGCAATATCCTTAAGCACATTTGGAAACCATTGAGCATTACTATAAAACAAGACACAGGGACCATCAGGTTGTTGTGACACCCAATTGGAATACTGGCATAGAGCTTTTGCATCATTTTTACCGATATTGTTAAACCATTTTCAGTTCATTTTAATATGTTTGGTTGCTCCTTGGCAAAACTCGGATTGATGAATGTAGAAAAAAATTAATTTCATTCCTCCTGGCGTATTTTGCTTTTCGTTCACGCTATTGTGTATTTTATTCTGCATTAATCATATGTTTTCGCTTGTTCATTGACAGTTTTTCTTTGCTGTTGGGCCCACGCCGTCATTCATTGGTCTGCGGACTAGTCAAGCTACCTATAAGCAGCTTTTTTCCATTGTCCTTCACCTGTATCTGCACAGTGGAAAATGAAGATTTCAAATTGGAGTTGTGACAGTCGGCAGAGCAGTATGCAGTTCTGACAAAACAGCACTAGAATGGCTTGTTGCGGAAACTATTTTGTAGTGTGCAGTAAGGCATATTCACAATACACTGCTGTGACTATTTACTTCCATTCTCTGTGAATTCAGTCTATTTGCTTTCATTCTCTGTAAATCCAGTGAATTTTTTTAATGTGTTGTCAAAATGAAACACAATGGCAAGCTGGGGGCCCCGCGTTGTCTATGTTGTTGTTATCGGCTAATTCTGCTGTTTTTCTTGTGAACATGAACCAGATGGCTTAGCAGTGCACATTTTTATAGTAAAGATGTGGGTGGCTTGACCTAGGGTCATACAGCTAATAATTGTCAAGTATGTTTTACAGGTATTGGTTGCTGGTCAGTTGTAATAGTAAAAATAATGAAATCCCTGATCAGTGGCCAACAGTTTAGTTGTCACGGTAGCTCGAGGAATGTGGCAATGCGCCGCTAAGCTTTAGATTGTGGGTTCTCGTGTACAGCTAAACCCCTTTAAAAGAGGCATGCTCCAGGCAGCAATTCTTGTTCAGTTCAGTTTTATTTCCTAAAAATCTAAGAGTGATGATTAAATTAACATTGCAGATGATCAGTGATGCGTTCTTTAAAAGCAGATGATGAGGCAATGTTGATGATGTCATAGGGTAGGCCGTTCCTGTCTGAAGTTGCTCTGAGGAATAATGAAGCAGAAAACGTAGTGGTATGCGATGGCGGGCAAGCAACTTGATGCGGATGACTGGTGCGGTGGGAAATGTGTGATGCTGCTGTGATATACAGTTCAAGGGTAAAATACTGATGTCATATAAATATGAAGAATGAATGGATCGAGTGGCCCTGTTTTTTTCTCTTATATGAGATGTCTCTTATAAACAAGGTGCCTCGTATGCATTTTCTTATCAACACGTATTTTGCTGTAGGCACTCTGGCGTCTCTTATACCCATTTGTCTCTTATAAACGGGCTCGACTGAACCCCTCTGGGGGTGCCATAAGTGGCGCGTGCCTCTGTGTGAGATATGTATAGAAAAAAACGTGCGAGTAAATCTGTGTGATCTGCCTACTATATGCCGAGTTCACTGTTTCTATATCCAAGTGTTTTATTTCAAATTTACGTAGACCGTACACTTGCCTGTCTAGCTAGCTGATGTGGCATGTCCATTCGTGTCTCAATAAACCTCGATTTGCTTGTTCCTGTTGCAGGTGAAGAGTTTGCGAAAGTGCAGAAGGAAGTGAGTGAAATACTCAATGGTCGCATTCTCGTTGGTCATGCTGTGCACCACGATTTAAAGGTGAGATATCACAGCTCGATCTTGTTGCCTGAAAACAAACGCACCCTTTGAGGTGTATCTTGTCTCTAAACAGCGTTCCTTATCTTTCTTACTTTTGTGTTCCTTTCTTTCTTGATAACCTTATGCTCGCTGTTTACCTGTCAAGAATGCTACAGTGTGTTAATAATGTGCAGGCTGTCTGTGGCCCTGGAATTACTGGGTATGCAGTGTTAAAGAAAAGAAAGGCACGTCACATAAATAGCTTCTCGCTCACTAGCAGTGGTGGGTAGTGTTGTAAGCAGTGCAGGTGTGTGTGAGTGACTGTCTTCTAAAGCAAAGCTTTCTCAAAAAGAGAGCGTGCTTCTGTCATCAGGATTTTGACTGTTGCATCGTTGTGGAGCAGTCTTGCATGTTGCAGACACGATTCGCTTAGAAATTTTTACTGTTGCTGTGCCATGGAACCGTTTAATACCTCATAGACACGATAGCCACCACCTTCTCTATGTGCTGCATGTGCTCGTTTGCAATGCTGAACCTTCACATGTAAATGCAGCGAAACGTGGCAGTAAGTAATTTGTGTTAAGTACCAGTAATTTTGGAAATGAGAGTCCGGAGGTCCAACCCAAATGTAATACAATGAGCGTAAATTTGTGGAATTGCAGAAGGAACAGTATTTATTAGGGGTGTGCGAATATGAAATTTTTCGAATACGAATATTCATGTTCGAATATCGATACGAATATCGAATATCAAAGGACAAATGCCTCTACAGTAACAATAATTTAAGATGTATTTATCTAAAAAAATACACAACAGCATGTCTGTTAACACAACATACACTGTTATTTGGAACACAATGCAAGTAATGACTAGCTGTTATCATGGAGGAATAGGAGTTGCTCCACGTGATCAGGCAGGAGGCGCTCCCTCCGAACAGAGACAACCTCCCCTGCCACTGGAAAGGCACGCTCGCTTGGAACTGAAGTGGTTGGTATGGGCAAGTACTTGGGGCAAAGCTTTGCCAGACTGGGGTATCTGAAGGTTCCCGCAGTCCGCCACCAGTCACATGGGTCGCTTCTTTCTTCAGTAGGGCTTCTTCAGAATACGCTTTAATTTCCCATTCTGAAGGAGACAGTGGTGTACTTGCTACTTGACTATTTGCAAGATTATCAAATGCACTCCAAACATCAGAGGATGGCTGCACACACTTTTGTGGCTCCTGCACTTTTGCTACTGGCTGCACGACTTCCACAGCAGGGCATAGGGCAACATCCTGAAGCACCAGATCTTTCAGCCACACCAACTTTTGTTTGTTGTTTCTGAATACCGTTGACTTGAAGCGTGGGTCCAAATACATAGCCAAGCATGCTTCTTTGTCCTCGGTATATAAGTAGAATCTGGTATTGAGAGACCTTGCCAGTTCCTTATGAAAGCATAACACGCTAGAAGAGATCGCCGAAGCTCAGGAACGCGTGCAATTGACCCGACTCACTGCCACCAAGGCGGGCCGCCATATTCTGCGCGAGCTCGGCTTCTTCTCCTCGAGGGCCAGGTACCCCCCAAAGTTGGCTCTAATTCCCCGTGAAATCCGCGACTTTATCACGATCGCTCTCATACCACGAAATGTACACCCCGATCATAACAGAGGCAGGCGCCTTGCGCGGGCGACCGCCATTCTCAAGCGCATAGACATGGAAGCGGACAACGTCTCGTTCGTGGACGCCGCTGCTTATCGCAACAACCAAGCCTTCGCCGCGGTCGCGGTATCATCCGCGCAGCAGACTCTTAACTCAGCCACAATCCTCACCCGAAACCCCGAAGTAGCGGAGCAAGTAGCTATAGCTATAGCTATAGCTATGCTCGACAGCAAATGGGAATTCATCTACAGCGACTCCAGGCCGGCCATCAAAGCCTTCGAACGCGGAGTCATCTCCGACCAGGCGTTACGCATCCTGCGCAATGCGGACCCGAGTGCCCTGAAACACCACACTGTCATCTGGTTCCCCGCCCATCTCGGCCAGATGCCGAGTGCCCTATCCAACCTCAACGAGATCGCCCATGGTGCAGCGCGTGCACTTACCGACCGCACTGCCACTGGGCAACCTCATGTTGCTGGATTAGATACCAATCGGGATGCACCAATTACGTACAATGAAATTACAAAGCACTTTTACCTGGAACGCCGCATTTTTCCACCCCCACATCTGAAACTTAACCGACCGCAGGCATTAACCCTACGCCTATTACAGACACACACGTACCCAAACCTTGCCACGCTTCACGTTTATTATCCCGATGCATACCCCAGTGACACATGCCCATCATGTGGACACACAGCGACACTCGAACACATGCTCTGGGAGTGTAGAACAACTCCTCCCGACTCTACCTCAAGCAAGTGGGAGAGGTCCCTCAGGAGCTCACTTCTCGCCGACCAGCAACGGGCCGTCCAGCAGGCCCACGAAGCGGCCGCCAGGTACTCCCTGTCGGTCCCTACGTGGGAGACACCCGCTAAGTGCGTCCTGCAGGACTGAAATAAAGTTTTTTCATTCCATTCCATATACAGATATATAAAACTGAAAGGTCGGCGCATGATTACTGTTTCATATATTCAATAGGTTTAGAATGCAGTCCAAGTTATTTAACGCATACTTGCCAGGAATACGACATAACTTGACAATAAAATCCCGAGTTGGGACTAACCGCTTTGGAGCATGTTGTATAACTGTGTGAATGCTCACGTGCGGAACTTCCTCGAAAAAAGAAATAAATGCGACGTCATGGTAAAAATTACCACTAGAACTCTTTTTGTCACTTATTATGTTTTCTAACCGAAGCGTTTGCCGACGGTGACGAAGTTTCTGCTTTAGCACGCGCGTGCACGGTCGTGCATTATCAAGCGATGTTTTGATGAGACAACACGGCAACGGTTAAGCTTCGTTCCTGCACACGAGGTCCCGCATAGTGAACGTGTGGTAGTCAGCACGTTACGGTGGCATACGAAAAGCGTGCAATACGTTTACACGAACGTCAACTTTGCTGCTGATTGTTGAACGTCGCTGGACGACATAGTGCCTCCGTGCACTTCTGATGCTTATCGCCCCTCTGGGCAACGTTTTAATATCTGTGAACCCAGCAGAAATATTAAAGAAGACTTATTTTCCGCATGATAATCCAATCAAATATTCGATATTGTCGAATATTCGAAGTGATTCGAATATTCGAACTTTTCGAATACACTTTTTTCGAATCGAGTACGAATAGTGCGAATTTAATATTCGACGAATATTCGAAACTTTCGAATATTCGCACACTAGTATTTATCCTTCCAGAAAAGCTAACAAATGTTAACACTGAATCATTCCGTTTTATCAAAAAGTGCTAAAAAAAGTGATGAAAACAGAAAGTGATAAAAACATTCTGCTTCTCGAGGGTCCTTTCAAGAAAAGGTTATGTATGCGTACCAGAATTTTTTTTTTTTCATTATGCCTCTCTAATCTTTGTATATTATTGACAACATGCTTGTGCAGGTGCTGTTCCTGTCGCATCCCAAACGACGGATACGAGACACATGCGCCTATCGCCCATTTCGGGCCATGTTTGGGGGCCGGACACCATCACTCAAGGCCCTCTCGGAGCGCATTCTGGGAGTCAAAGTCCAGCAGGGCGAGCACAGTTCGGTCAGTGCACTCCCTGGTATTCATGCTAAAAGACTGGCCATGATTGGCCATGCAAACATGGACACAGAATATATGTTTTGATTCCTGTGCCTGCACAAAACTGTGTAAAAGTTGCAGTTTTATACAGGCGCAGAAATGAAAAGAGACATCTAATGGTCAAGGCATGGCGTATCCATAGCAGTAGTTGCGTCTGCATGAGGCAACTGTAAAGAAATCAAATGCATAAAGAAGTCAAATGCCCGAATGGTTATCTACCACGTACAGTTGCACTCAAGCCTGTCTTGATGGATGAGTGTCCAATTTTCAATGTTTGCACTGCAGGTGCAAGATGCCCAGGCTGCAATGCGCTGCTACACCATGTACAGAAAACAGTGGGAAGAGGATGTGAGAAACGGCCGGCGGTGGTTCAATCAGCAGAAGCAGCTGCAGCAAGTGCAGCAGGATGCATGAGGACACCCCTGTACGTCTTATTATCCTCGCACGCCAGTGAGACATGTACTTATCACTGTGTAAATGAAAATATAAATGCTATTTCATGATGTCTATCCTGTTGTGCTTTACAGCGAAGCTGTTTACTTCTAGCCGATGTTTTCTCAGGGGAGAGTTTTGGCAGACTCTCATTCATTTGAGACGTCGCATAAAAATCAGTGTATAGTACGGTTCTGCATATAGCCCGTGGTGTATTTCCGAGATGAAAAAAACACGGAAAAAAATGTCTTCACTCATATATATATATATATATATATATATGAATGAATGAGATCTAACAGACAGTAATGCCAAGGAATGTACAGGGGAAGTTATTTTTTCATCCACTTTTCTTTCTTTTTCTTCTTATTTTCATTCCATTGTTTCTAATAACTTCCCCTGTACATTCCTTGGCATTACTGTCTGTTAGATCTCATTAATATTGTGTTAAAACACGGAAAAACGAGCTCTTAGGTATACACTTCTTTCCCTTATATATATATATATATATATATATATAGCTTGAGCGAGATGGAAACTAAATTCATTTATTCACACACTTGTTCATCGTTGTCTGACACGCATCATTCCGAAACTGCCTGGCCAGAGAGGTCCTCCCACAGCACTCAATATTCTGTGACATCAAAGGCGTTTTAACTTCAACACTTCTTGAAGGCACGACAAACGGGCGCCTCGAGAATACCGACCTAAGTTTCGGCGATCCATGTGCACAGTATCGCTGGCAAGGCCCGTGCTAGCAAGGATCATCTCCAGACCTCCACTCCGTATGCATGTGGTTGATGTGGTTTTTAAGTGAATTATTTAGGCCCACATCAGGCGACTCCAACCAAGATGTCCTCTCGGGTCAACGACGAGCTCAGCACGTGAAAACGCGAAGCAGTTGCTTTGCCGAGGTCGCACGGAAATGCATCGAGCACGAATATCGATGGCAGCCCCAGCAGTGCTCCATTGTTCAACATTCGAAAACACTCCATTTTTTCAGCCCAGAAACTTTTTGGACCACTTAATATAAAGAGGGGTTTCTTCGGTTTACTCCAACGGTGACTGCTTCACTCGTCCACGCCAAACTGCCGCCCCGCAGCACAGTTGCTGTTTTGGCAGCTGAGATCACCTTCCTTTTAAAGTTGAATACGGACTTTGCGGTTCTCACATAGCACACAATCGTGGCTGCCAGGAAAGCGAAAATGATTCTCGAATGAAAATTTTTGCATATGGTATGGGGTCGAAATTTCCCGTCAAAAACTAGAAAAAAAACCTCGTACCATACGCAGGTTTTTATCGTATACTATACTCGCGCACATTTCTCGGTATTGAAGGGAAGGCTAAGGAACCAAATCGGGCGTGTGCCACCACTGAACAATATAGTCCCACAGTTGCGTCCGTGTTTTCAGCATAAACATCATAAAAAAAACATTTTTTATGGGATGCTTTTCATAAAGAGACGCAATATGTGCCAAGGAGATATTAATATTTGGTTTCCTTTATACAGAGTCATTTTGCGTTTATGCACATGTGAAAGCGTCTAACGTTTTATGAGTCTCCCAACAGTCAAAATAGGGTCTTCATCTTTAGGTGAGCGTTCGTCGCCCTCCAGATATTAAATGACTCGCCAAAGGAGCTACTGATAAATCTCACTGACAAGTGGCTGTGTAAGCGAAGGTAGCAAATTGTAGGTCTATTTGATTCAAAAGAAGTGCACGGCACCGCATACAAGAAGGTGCAGCCGGTGCTGACACCTGGTGCAGCGTGTAGCTAGGTGTCTCTGCACCCATTTCGGGGTGCAAATGCAACGCATCAGCAACGCCACCGCTTAGTGGTGATGTGCAAGCAGCGAACACGTGTCGTCTGCTGCTTGGCTACGTAAATCGTCATGAGTATTGTGCGCCCACGAATTTGCAGCTCCTGATTTGTCAGCATGAAGGAATTCCACATTGCCATGGAAACAGCTGAATCCGACAGCGAAGACGAGGAACTGGACGCAGTGCTATGTCAAATGTTGCGCAGCGATCGTAACCGCACACCTAGGTACTATGAGGAAGTTGTCCATCATTTTGACTACGAGTTCAAGTGCCTTTCTGCCGATGCTTTCGAAATTCTCTTTATCAATAAAAAACCTCTTCTTTCTTCCGGTCCACAGCACTTCGTCAGTCATTGCGACGTGCAGGACCTTGATCAGCGCTCTGACGAAGCACCAAGCAGCTGCTGCAGTGGCCGCTTGCGTCGTCGGCATCGCGTGGTCTTGCGGCGTTGTAGGTGTATCATGCCAGTTTGTCTATTCAGTGGTGGAAAGTTGGACCGACGCGCATACAACCCGCAATGTTCCGCCATCTAAAAAAAAAGAAAAACAACGGATTACGAAGAAGTGTCACGGTCTTGCATCTGAGCGAACTTCTCAAGAATTCTATCACTTCTGCTCAATTACCTGCTGTGGCGTAGAGTTCGGCGTTGCCGGCTAGGAGTATCACGCCAAGATCGTCCGCAATCGGAAAAATTTCTGTCTGTACACCGTCGATGTCCACGACGTCCCACAAGCGTGTCTCAAGGTGCTGTCTGCTAGCGCGCGGCAGGAATGTGAGAGGCTGCACCAAAATGCTGCACCTTTGCTGCACCCTCGCGCTAGAAGGTGCAAGGGTTCGCGGCACCACGGCGACACCCAACCAACACCTTGTAAGATCGAGTACGCAAGTGCAGGGGGCGGCGTTGTACCTTTGAGAATCGATGAGCGAGGTGCAGCGCACCGTGAAAAGGTGCAGAAGGTGCAGGGAACCTAGGGAGAATAGACCTATTATGTAGTGTATTTGAACACAGCCGTAATTCGAAACAAGAGTCGAACCGGACTACTTCGTAGAGCAGTCTTTTACAATGAAAAAGCAAACAAAATTTCAATGCCAACTGAAAAATTGTCTACCGCATACACTAGTTTATGGTCACGTAACAGGGCAGCTCGGATAATTGAAGTTTCTGCCACCAAGAGGTGCCACAGGCTATTTTCGCAATTTTTCAATGAAGAAATGAAAATATCTCTACTTCTCACTAGAAAAATAGGATTTGAGTAATCCAGCGGGCCTGAGAAGCGGTGAAAAGGCTAAACCTTGCCACAAGCACCTTGGTGGCCTTGGCCAGATCTGCAGGTTCTTAAGTTTTGTGCAGTTTATTCCATAATACTTGTCTGAATAGCCTCTAAGAATGCACAACTCGCCCTCATAATACCTTTGGTAATGCTGCTCACGCTGGGTTTATGTGACTGTAAAGGCCGTCATCGTGTGCAGATCACAACAATTCTGGTTTGTCGGCATCGCTTGTGCTGTTCTCCATTAAACACCATCAAAATGCCTTGGGCAAACAGACATGAGGGTTTGAGTTTCCCAGAAAGAAATGATACTGCAAAGCTACTCTCCCTCTTGCCTTCCTACTTTGGATCCAGACTTGTGCACCAGGTATAACAACCATAAAAGCATTGGGGGACCCTTTAACTTCACCTTTAAGAGTTGTCTTGAACGCAATAGCGTTATTTTGTCCCTAGCGTATTCTTTTATTGCATGTAATGAATAGTGCATACTTTTTATTGTGTGTTGTTACCTAAGAAGTTTACATTGTGGATTAGTGCAATGTAGTTGGTAAAGTTGAAGTAGCTTGTGTCGTAAAGCTTTTGCATATGGCTGCATTATGCACATGAAATTTTTTTGAACTTGCTATGCACCCACTACATGGTCTTAATACGTGCAGTAATGTGTGTGCCTTTTGTAATGGATGGCCGGCTTTAAACCCGTAATAACGTTTTGATGCCCAGTGGCAATGTACGCTTGTACCATGCAATATTACATGTATTATGAAGCCGGTATACTGGACATGTGTGTCTGTAAAGCATGTGAACGTTATTGTCGCTGCATTTCCAAGCTGAGGAAGTTATTTTCACTCTATTTCCAAGCAGCCGCAACCTGCTTTCCACACAAATGGCCTCGTTTCGATCCTCACTTGGACGCGGAAATTGATATTGCTTATTTTATTTACATTTTTCCCAATTTTTCGGTCATGGACAAGATGATATTTTGCTCACGACCGACACCAAGGCTGGAATTCTGCAAAACGAGCTCATTAATGCTATCGCATTAGTAATATGCATGCACTCCATAACTTAGCCTTACTTTCTTTTCAAAATGATTTTAGATATGCCCCTCCATTACAAAGCTGCAAAACGAGTCTAGTGGCTGTGCGGTCAAACGAGCAGATAATGCAAAATAAACTAAACAAGTCTTCTCCAAGATGAATGTGAAAAACGTGTATCATATGTGGTATAAACGAGGGAAAAACGTTTGTGAACAAAAGGTCATTTCAGTAGGCACTTAGATTAGGCTTTGGTCCCTCGCCACATTCTGCTAAACTCCTCGTAAATGCTTTTCTTGTACCTTTCTGATTTGTCATTGTTTCCCTCTTCTTGAACAGCACTACTATTCCAGTTCTGATTAAAATGTCTGTCATAACCCAAAGCTATCATTATAGCCAGCTTTAACTCTCTTCGTCCTTTTCTACTTAGCTCTCGGAACATATGCGCCTATTTTTCCAGCTTATAACGAGGGGGTGAGAGAAAAGGATAAAGAGAACATTCTAGCAAAAGAAAAAAAAATCTGGTGGGAGGCAGTGGAATGTGAATTTTAACTACTTGGCTATTCAGGCCTGCTGACAGAACATAGCATAGCCTTGTGTAGTTCCTATAGCAAGGGGGCAGAAGAGGGAAGTGTGAGGGAGGAGGAGGGCGACAGGAGAGCTCATCATACAAATAATGAGAAATAGAAATTCAGAGAGAGCGATGAAAAATAGAGAGACAAAGTAAGGAAAGAGAGAAAAATAGTTATGGAGACAAAAACGACACAAGAAACTGAGAGAAAGGAACAAAGAAGGCTGCTAAGCTCTGTACTTTCTTGGGACCACTAGGTCGAAGTTGCCCATTGGCTCCGCTACATGACTTTAGCCTTGCACCTCCAGTGTAGGCTATGCTAGCTTTCTTTTGTTTTAGCCTTCTTATCGTTTTACATTCTTCCTGAAAATTAGTCTTGCATGTCCCTTTCATCAGCTATTTATTCCCCTCTATCTGTTAGTGTGCACGGTTGGTTGGCTGGCTGTTGAAAATAGGACGTCGCACAACTCGAACTGGTGGGTCAGCTATGAATCGTTTAAAAAATTGTGTTGGAAAAGTTAAATACAAAATTGTGAGGAAAGTAATAAAGGTCGCCAGATGATTGAATGTGATTTTTATTGCAAGCACAGTTGTTAAGTGCCCATTACACCGTAATTTTCTTTTGCAAATCAGCAAAGGGCCCACTACGCGCCCATAGGGCAAACTCGAACCTATGCATTGTTCACATGGTTTTGATGCGCATGATTAAATATTCCCGAGGACTTCATAATGGATGGACCTTTAAAACACCCACTCGTAGCTCAATTCACATCTTTTGATGTATGGCTTGATTTTACGCTTCTGCCTCGCAATATATAATGCGTTAGAGAGACTCCTTCCATTCAAACGGTTTTTTTTTCTAAAGCATTTCCAACAAAATTTATGGCTCTGAGGGTGGAACATTTGCTTGCCATGCAGACGGCCTGGTCTAGGTTTTGTTCTGATTCGGACCTGGAAATTATAATTTATTTGCATGTTTCTCAATTTTTTGGTCATGGACAAGATGATTTTTATCTCAAAATTATTGCCGCCAATGCCAACACTGGAATTGCTGCAAATCTTGCTTTTCAACGCTCTCCATTAATAAAGTCATTCATGTCAACAAGCACAGGCAACGGGTCTGCATGGGCCTGGTCTTTTGGCCCAAGTGTGGTTATGATAAATTTGATGCTGTGGAACCTTCTATGTTTGCGAACATAGGGGTGGAGAGTATTATTTTTGAACAGTACTGAAGCCTTTGAAGCCCTTATATGGCCAAGGTTCCATGTACTTTTTCATACACCTCAACAGAAGCAAATGTCAATGTTCTTTTGAGAGCACATGGGCAGCCATCACTCCCAAAAGAACGTAAAAATCTTCTTAAATCGATGTGACAGCTGGTGCACATAAGGCATAACAGCTTATCTCCTTGGCTTAACACCTTGCCCCGCCGCGGTGGTCTAGTGGCTAAGGTACTCGGCTGCTGACCCGCAGGGTGCGGGTTCGAATCCCGGCTGCGGCGGCTGCATTTACGATGGAGGCGGAAATGTTGTAGGCCCGTGTACTCAGATTTGGGTGCACGTTAAAGAACCCCAGGTGGTCTAAATTTCCGGAGCTCTCCACTACGGCGTCTCTCATAATCATATAGTGGTTTTGGGACGTTAAACCAAATCCTTCGAATTCACTGAATGCTTTGTTGGTTACTGCGAACGATATGCTCGATCTTGGCAGTTAAACCCCAGATATCAATCAAGCCTTGGCTTAACACCTGTATCACAGTTTAGCACTTGAGGGGGATTTGCACTTCTTGATTAATCTTTCCCAGGCCGACGCAAGAACATGCACAAAGAACCCAGCATTATTTAGTCGATCAACTTGCTGCGGATGTTCTTTTTTCTTCAAACCATAAAGTAGGAAAAGCCTGTGCTGCGAATGAGAAAAAGAATAGAGGAACTTCGGGTGTAGGTTGCATGGTTAAGCATTGAAACCCTCGTTTCCTGCTCTGTTGGGGTGGTCTATAGGATACACCTCTCTTGTAGCAGAGTGTATATAGGCCAGTCAGGCAAATGCATTGACACTCCAACAGCACAATAGCACCTTAAAGGGAACGCCGATGTCAAACCTCGCTACACGCAAGGTCTGTGGATGTAGACAGTGTTTAGATAACACAGCCATCTTGCAACAACAGATAGAAGGGCACGAAAACTCGCGGAAGTGTACTTCATTAAAGATGCGGGAGAAGACAGTGAAACTGAGCCATCTGTTTGCCTCTTAGATTGTGAACTAAGTTTAAAAGTTCTTTCATAACAGGTAATTTCTGCACACTCGTCTTCGGTTTTCAAAGTGGTTCAAATTTCTTTCAATAAACTTCAGTTGTTAGCGCTTGTGTCTTATTTGTGCTCAGTCTCGTTCGTGATGAAAAGCTTTCAAGTATGCATCAGTTCCAACTGGCCCACCTCTCTACTTTACTGCACTTTCAACTTTATCTATTTCAGTGTGGCAATCCACCATTTATATTCTCTAGTAACATCACACACTAAAAAGTATGCACTATGTAGTTAAAGTATGCACTATTGACAGGAAATCGCTATTGCGTTCAACTCTTAAGGGAAAGCTTAAAGATTTTATTTTTGGTTGATTGTTAGTTGCATTTTGATTTCATAATATTCACTGGACCAGTGGCCCTAATGCTAAGTAAAATTTTGACATGTAAATTGAAAGAAATTTTGCTGTTACTTACAAGGGATATTAGGCATGTTCTAATTCAACTAATAAGCCAATCATAAGGCCATAATAAGCCAACCATAAGGCAATCGGATGCGGTTTAACATAGTATTCAGCTTGGTGGAACCAGTCCAGTGCCGAATTTGTACGTTGCTAATGGTATTCGTGCACATTATCCAGCACATTTTGCTTCATCTGTTTAATGTTCAGTGAAAATTCATAATTCTGGAAGCTCAAGACACAAATTTGTGTAACACGTGAGAACCAAGAAATGACACTGCTGTGGACCTTTTTCCATCCATTTTTATTATTTTTTTTCTCGTTTCACATCCCAGTTTTGTACACCTTGATGTCACTGGATAACGTTAAGATAGCACAGGTATCTGCTCTGTGACACAAATAAACAGGAAACAAAAAACTGAAGAAGGTACAACGGCAGAAGGCTCCGGCTGCACGGGAGCTAACACTGTGGACGTTCCAAGATGGCTGAGCAGCCCGGTCATCGAGGCCTGTGATTTACACGACTGGAAAACTTGCGGCACTGTGTAGAGGCACAACTGTGCGCTGCCTTCCAACTCTTAATGCTTGCCCGCTTGGGTATGCAAAAACCTGTACGCATCCCAACATATCACATAAAGGAGTTGCTCGCCTGTAACAACAGGAAATTGAACACTAGAACATGGTAGTGCAACAGTACGTAAATCTGAGCCAACAGGAACAATACAATGTATACAATGTCTAACAGAGCTGCTGAAGGAACAAGTGCAGAGAATTCAAGATAAAAGCTGGCCACTGTTCCGCAGATAACAAGTTACCCTTGTTGATTGCAATACATTTGCTAGACTTACGGACCGAAAAGATGTTGCATTTGTGATAACTGTCACTCAAATTTACATACAGAAGAAACCAATGGTAATGCGCAGTGAAGTGTTTGGAGCACAGACCATTTGACTAGTTAAAACCAGTGCTGCAGATTACCTAAGCATAACCACTCAGTTGCAACTTAGAATACAACATACAACTAATAAATGTTATATTACACCCTGAAGCAGCAGTTTTGATTGAAGGATCAATAAATGTTCGCGACTGTTATCACTACCTTTTATGGCCGGCAAGTTCTCACGTTGGTTCTAAGCATTCATTGAGCGGACCAACAACAAGCTTAACGTGCTCTCGCACCCAGTAATTCTATATTTCTAGAACGGCTTATCCCTGTCAACCTCGAGTTGTTGGGAACGGCCTCGGCATCGTAAACACACATACTGCAAGAAACGAGGAAATTTGTTTTCTTCAGGAACAGTACCCGCTAGCATTCTTCAACTATTTATTCAACAGTTTTGTTTGGTTAGCCTGGGTGTTTCTATTTTACTTGCTTGCGTTTCAACCTACCAATGTGAACTCTCTCTACACTTATGTGCATCTTCCAGCACTAGAACCGTTATCACTACAGTGGCATTGGCAATGCAATTGCATTGCGCGTGCTGTAATGGTTTGCCACAAGCCTAATGAAGTGCATTCCCTTCCGTTCACTTCGTCAAAGATAACTCCTGTGCAAAGCACTTATTTCACACTGGTATTGCTATCCAGAAGTGGGCATCGCCAAATTTGACGTATTGTCGGCGGCACTGCCAGCCATATCAGGATAAAGTAATGCCAGCAGCATACATGCTCAATGAGAACCGGCCATCGCGATGCCCCAATTCCCTTACAAACATTGCACAACCTCTTCGTCACTATCGGAGCATATTGCAATTACAATGGCACCTGTGTTAGAGTGACTCGCTTCTAGCATCATCGACACAGCTCACACGACCACTTCCCACTAAATAAATAGCAGTGCCAATGCGCAAGAACACTGCCGCTCCATCTTTCCACGAACCCCCAGGCATTCACAGGTGTGCCAGTCGTGTAAACCTCAGCCGAGATGTTCACTGGTGTGCATCTTGATCCCGGAGTGAGGTATACTTTTTTTTTTGGTCGAAACATGCAAGTGCTTGTAAAGAAGACTAGTGTTTTGTCGGCTGAGACATGTACGCTTTTCCCCAACCACACTTTCCTTTCGGTTGGCGGATGCCGCACGAAAAACAAAAGAATGCAGTATGCTTTCTGTGCATCTACTGAAAAACTCTGCCCCTGGGATGGAATCCAAACAACCTCAGATATAACTTGTGATGAACCAGCTGTAAATATCTCTGGGAAACTTTCTCTTCAACAAATATTTACACATTATATTTATATATATATAATATAATATATATATATATATACTCAATCCTCCACCTACACAACGTGCACATTGCAGCATCAAAGTACAGTTTGGGGGAACGGGCAAGGCTCAACAATTCAAGGTATGGTGTGTGTGTCCACTTAATGGTCGTCACAGACCTCTGAAGCCTTTGGTCTTTTTCGGAAGCTGGGCTCCCCTCCAATTCTTTTTTTTTTTGTGTGTGTGTGCTCCATTACGAAGCTGTAATGCAGCATGCCCTACAAAAGGTACTCTCAAAAAGACTGGGTGCGGGAGCAGAGTTTGTCAAAAAAGCGGAGCTTTCTGGGCATACACACGTAACACACTCACACCAAACTAGAAGAGTGCAGCAAGATCAGATTGCCAAGAGCCTCTCCCCCCATGCCCAGAAAAGCCCTTAACCCTCTTAACCCTTCCCCAAATGTGAAAATCTCGGCTGGAGAGAAAACCCTCTCTCTCTCTTTGAGCGCAAGTGCCACGTCGTCACTATGTTTATCTCTTTCTTTTCTTTTTGTACAATGCTGCTCGAAATCTCACTCTTGTACACCACCAATTCTTGGAATCTCTCCTCAACGAGGAGGGTGGGTTGAGGAAACAATAAAACCTGCGGGCTCACGCAACAAACTGGAAAACCAAGACTCCTTCCCTCATCGAGATTATGGCTCGCGGAAGGACACAGGACCATTCACGTTTTTCTCACTGTTAGCGATACAAGTTGCACTGTCTTTATTCAACAAAAATAAATAATGCTATCATCCCCCGTTTCGCCCTTTCGTCCTTTTTTGCCACCTTTCCATCACCATACTGCAAAAAACTGTTCCTGTTGCTTTAGACGCCACAGACACCACTGCAGATTTTTCTGCAGTCTAACATTTCTTCAACATGTCTGTGCTGCACAGTAAAAACGGCACAGAAAACAAAGCTTTGGCAAAGCAAGCAATGGGACTACCCTGTCCTTCAGGATTATGCGCCTTTCTCGCTTTTTTGGACTCTTCTCAAACCAGAGATCTCCCAAGGAAACATATTGGTACACCTTCTTTTCACCTTCTACAAGGACTTTGATCAACTCCACCGTGCTTTTTTTTCTTTCCCCATTCCTATTGGCATGACGAAGGGGGGGAGAGAGAGGGGTCGAGGGCACTGAGAGAAGCTTAGAGCAGAAACATCATCCCCACAACAACGTCAACAACAACAACAAATGGTGGCCCCCACAGGATGCCTGCTCCCTCGCTGGTTCCCTCGCGATTGTGCCACGGAGAAAAGGGCAGGAGCCTGCCCCCCCTCGCAAATCTGCTGCGTTCGCCAAACAAACATAGAATAAGGAATCCTCGCCACCATCATAGAACAACGTTAACAACAACAGTAATGGCAAGCCAACCCCACCAGCTCTAATCAACACAATGCCCATCGAGGGCAACTCGCGACTTTCGGGGCGAACCATCGAAAATTCCGCTTCTGGGCAACACTTCGGGTGGGGGATAAACTTGCTCGCAGTCTTTCCTTGCCTTACTAGTGACAGCACGTCGCTGCCAGAGTGCAATGCAGATGCAAACGGGGCTGTCGCGCAAGCAGCAGCGGCGGAGGGGGTGAGGGAGCGGCTACTTCCTTCCCAAGAGAGACGACTGGGAGAGGAGGGCAGGGCAACGGGACTGTCCGTTGCACGTCCAAGGTGGCGCTGGGCAGCGGCTCAAATGGTGGGTGAAGCGTCTCTCAGGCCTTCATCTCGCACTCTCGTGCCAGGTGGCCCACCTCGCCGCAGTGGTAGCAGCGGTTGTTGGAGCGTGTGGACCGGCAGTTGCGTGCTATGTGCCCACGCTCATTGCAGCTGCAGTATCAGAGAAGGCAAAGAGGGCAGCACTTGTGAGAACAATGCGAAATGCACAAAGTGAGGCACATAACAGGCAATGAACTGTACTAATATATACAGCTTAACTAATTTTTCATTACCCAGTTGCAATTAACTGAAACTTATTTTTCACGAAATGTTGGGTACAACCATTGTTTGGTGAAAGTAACGCATGGTTTATTATGCTGACCTCTATCACGGCCTACGTACCTTTTTAGAGCTATCACTAAAATCCAATGCTTCATGCAGGCTAGTGCCATTTGAACCAAACGGATATCTTCACATTCAACCATCGTAAGTTCTACATTTGCCACAGCAAGTGCAGGAGTCATTCTTTACTGAATTTCACTTTGTAGTTATGCATGCTCATAATTCTTATTTACGTAGCAGACTCCTGTATAATTGGTAATACAGTCGAACCCCCTTATAAGAGACGCTTATGAAAAAGACAATGGCGTACAACAGACACTGGTGTGCCTACATAGAAACAGGTGTTGATGACATGATGCATATATGGTACCCCGCTCATATAAAAAACGCGAACTGCGCCCCAGTGCACGAGTCTTGTAAAGGGGTTTAACTGCAATCTCATTACCTCTCTGCCATCACTCTGTAACATTATGCTCACTGAGATAGCGGTCGTTGCCGCCTTTACCTTCATTAGAGAAGGCTGGCATCATGCACAAGGCACAAGAGCTTTGAAGGACACACAAAGAAGTAAATTTTTTGGCATTAGTAAAGTAATATTTCACATTGCAAAAAGCGAAAAAATGTGCAGTAAAAAATGCAGGTGACAATGCCACATTGAAGTTTCCACACCAACTCTCAGTGATGTCATGGATTTTGATGGTGTCTACTAATGCCTACATAGTCCTTGTTTGATCAAAACAAAGCACAAGGTTCTGTGAGGGAGCAACTGGCCTCACGTACCAAGCTTCAGGAAATTTCCCATTCACCAAAAGTACCGTCACGAGGTGATGGCACAGACAAAGGCAGCAGTCGGCATGTCCCAAATGAAACTCTTTATTTGGTCGAACTTGCAGCTGGTACATCGAAAGTCATACTACAGCAGGCAATGCATGCTGTGCACTGACAGTGGCAAACAGAGTGTCAGCCGTCGATGAACTTACCCGCGGCAACGCGCGTCGTCATTTATACATAACGCGTCAAATATTGGAGCGTTATTGCTGATGGCAGAGCCTGTTTCACAATCAACCTGGCTGTTCGCGATTGCGCGCTCAAGCCGGACAGATGATTTTAAAACTATCAGGTGTGCTCTCAGACATTCTGGCGTGGATTGCACAAGGCAATATCTAATTGTGCAATATGCCGGCAACATAAAACAGAGAAGGGGGTGCATGGAAATACGAAAAAACAATTGGGAATCTCTGAAACTTTGGTTTTCTCTTTTATTAAAACTATAATGACGAAACTGACTTTTAGACATTATTAAATTACATATAAATACGAGGACACAAGTAAACATACAGAACACCACTAACGTGGTGGTATGTTCAGTAGTGGGCCAAACAATTGAGAATTTGGAGCAATTTTCGGAGCTGGAAACATCCTGTTCAGGAACAAATTTAGAGCAGGAATAATTGTGTTCTAGATCATTTATCGCAGTTAAAGGGACACTAAAGGCTAATACGTCCGGAGGTCACTAAGCTGACTACAGATCTGGTGTGACATCACTAGAACTTTTGTTGCCCTTCCTGTAGAGCTAGGTCAGTGTTGGGCGTGCTCGCGATAGGTCTCAATTACGAGAATGAGCATTTAGGTACACTTGGGAAGTGACTTAAAATATATTCTTAAACACACACGGTGCTTGCTATAGCCTTGAAATTTGATAGCACCATTCCATCAAGAGTGTCAGCTTGTGCACAGTTGACACTCACAGCATGTTGCTCAACAACTAAGAAGTAACATTTGGGACAGTGGTTAATTTACACTCATCCTGTGGATTCATGCATGTTCTTTTCTAGCGCCGTTTTTGGTTTCTTTAAGCAGCACGCTTCCAGTGTCGACCTACGACATTCGATCATTAGCACTCGTCCTGTGCGCTTTCTTTTCGCGCGTCCTTCGTGCTTCAGCGGCACGTTGCATGTATGGGGTTGCTTGCCCTTCTTCGTGTGACATTCTAATTTCTTGCTATCACATTCACTGCTTTACCTTCACCAGAAACTAACTTTTTTTTTCACATGCACCTTTGAAAAACGGAATCATGTGCACGCACGCCGCATTAGTGCTTCAGAAATGGAGAATTTGACAGGTTCGCACACCGATGTACCACATTTAGGAGGTCACAATGTCGATATATGAGTGCACTGCTCAGGAAATTCAAGGATTTTAAATTATGACAAAAAATTCCAGGACTTCAAGGCCTTGAAAATGCATTTTTGAAATTCAAGGGCTTTCAAGGATTTCAAGGACCTGTACAAACACTGTTTGTTGCAGTTGGTGCCGTTTGCACAGAACTTGGCATAGCGAGACGCAGAGAGGTTGTATTGTTGCCAAATGGTGCAAGTGGTGTAGTTGGACCACCACTGTACGTTCCATACTTGTATGCTCGTCCTTTTGTGCAGTTTAATAATGTCTAAAAACTATGAACCAATACCCGCCAAGACAGCTAAACAAAATTAACAACAGCAAGGTTTTTCAAGACTCTTTAAATTGATTCATTGTTTCGCTTCAGTGTCCCTGTAAGGGACAGCTGGTTGCAATGACAAACAAATTGACGGGATGATCTCTCACCGGTAGCAGACGTCGGCCACTGCGTCGTTTCCTCCGGCCTCTGGGCAGTCCCGGCTGATGTGTCCCAGGTGTCCGCAGTTGTAGCACTTGCGGTCATCCCGCTCGCTGTTGGGGCAGTCCCGCGAGATGTGGCCCAGCTTGCCGCACAGGTAGCACTGGAGAGAGAGGCCAGCGCCACTCTTGTGGGGAGCAAGGGAAGAGCACCACTTTCAAATGAGTCCCAAACACAGGAGAGTAAAGGCAACAGAAAAATACATAAAGGAAACAGAGAACTGAGGCAAACATAAATACATAATGGCGTAAACAAAGGTAAAAAAGAAACAGAAACTGTTGAGAATGAAGGGTGCACATAAGTGTTCCCATCTACAAACTAGCCTCTTGTGCAGTCTTCCTCCATAAACTTAACCGGTAAACCAGCACTGCCCAACAGTGCAGCAAGCAAAGCAGGAGCACAATGGCTCAATCTGGAGTTCCACTTAGGTTTGTTTATTTCTTTGCTTAGAAAGCCATGTCTTCGGTGAAAGACACTGTGCCTAATGCTAAGGACTGGAAAGAAAATAGTACTGTATACACAAGCAGACATGTATGTGTCTGCCTGCATTCATGCTTTGCAGTCGCGTTCATAGCACAGTTTCCAAGAAGTGAATATAAGATAATGCTACTAATAGGCTCCAATAGATCTTGAGTGAAGGAAGAGTACTTCTAATCGAATGTGTCTTCATATGAAAGACATTAAATTTGACTTGTAAAAACAGCATGACATAAGGGTAAACTCGCATGATTGTACCTAATTCCAAGTGACTTTTCAAATATGACTTTGTCTACTCTTTTGTGAGCTTTGTACTTTTCTTGCAGTATACTCCCATACCCAGCTGTAATTAACAAATGTTAAACAACGACTGACATATGAGCTATCACTGCCATTATGTTACCAAGAACCACTGCACAAGAGGACCTATGTGACATTGCCACAACAGCCTAGCGTAAATGAAGTTTTATACGTTAATTGTCCTTTCACTTAAAAGAACCACTGTGACCTGTAAAAACACGCCAAGCAACCTATAATGTTCAAAGGAGTACAGATACATATTGTTGAGGTTAGGTTGTTATAATCTTACATGCTTTTTCTCATATGTAAGAAAATTGAAGGTTGGGAAGGGCATAAAATGTGTTAAGTTCATGCCAAAGTTTGCTCCAATGTATACTTGCTGGTAGTCTGAAATGTGTGTCTAGGTTCAGACCCTTTGAGTTTTCCATGCAATTAACTTAAATTTATGAAGTGCACTCATTACTGAGAGTGCACTTCAACATTCTCTTTTCTAATATTTCTTTCGCCATGCTGAACATTGGCACCAGGCGGTAGTCATTCTAAGTTGCCTGGTGTCGTTTGACATTACTGCGGCATCGCGACATTGTGAGGGAAGTCAACATTCTCTTTTCTAATGTTTATTTCGCCATGCTGAACATTGGCACCAGGCGGTAGTCATTCTAAATTGCCTAGTGTCGTTTGACATTACTGTGGCATCGCAACATTCTGTAGCAATCGAGCTGAAAACATTGCTCTTAAAAAAATATAAACAAAATTACTGTGCTCGCTTCTTACAGTATACACAAGAATACAGCGATGGAGTGAGCTAGCTCGTCACCGCAACATATATGTCATGAGGTTAGTCTGAAGTTAGGTTCGGTCAAAGCCAACTCCTACATATTGAATTCAGACAGGTTTCGTAAATGGGAGTATTCAAGTGACCTGTACAGGGCACTCCAGGCCTTCATCAAAATTTATAACGCTGGCCCTTACTTTAATGAGAAAAACAGAATGTCATATAAGAGAAGCCTCACTTCTGCACTCCTTCAAATACCACAGGCTTTTTCAAAACAGTGGTAGCCAAGATTAATGAGAAAGCCAACAGGCACCAACGTCACAGATCATCAGAACTGTTTTGTCAGGTTACTGCAAGGAATTTTAAAATAAGGTAAATGACGGGGGAAAATAAACTGCAGTGAAATAAATGGAAAGAAATGATGGATAAGTAATAAAGAAAAGCAAACGCCCCAGGACATTGTTGCCGGCGCTCCATGCCAAACTTGTCCCTGTACGTCCAGGTTCTCAACAACACGACGGTTTCTTCAAAATCTCAAACAGACAAGAAGCGTGCTGAAGGGCATGTGTGTTGATGCGATTAGCAAACACACAACAAAAATTTATGTAACAGTGTTTTTGTTCTTGTTGACACCATTAGCTAACATACAACAAGAATTTATGTAACAGTGTTCCGTTTTCAGAAATAATGCTACAATACTGTTTACAGTCATGAGGCCAAGCCATCACTATTATAAAAAAAATTAAACACTTAACAGTAGTTATTATAGGTCGGGGGATTCTGCAATGTTTTTTTTTTTTTTCAAACTTTTCCTGCATTAAAAAATAAGGTTGCTTCAAAACGGCCCTTATCAAGGCCCATTAGTAGTAGTATGCGTGCTTCCGAGCTGTGTTTTGGTGCTACTATTTCAGGACAGATCACTGGTTAGTACAGACTGCATGCAGCACATTTATTACAAGCAGTGCACATGTGTAGTGCGCACATGGTGCATAGTGAAGTGGGTCCGAGTGACTTTCAATGGACAGGGAGGTTTGGCAAATTAGGGCATACCCAGTTTTAACAAGAGCTACAAGAACCCTAGTCAAACAAGTGAAACCACATAAATGTTGATGCTCTCAAGTTTTGGCTCTTATATGGCACACTCGTGTGCCTGTAGGCAACAGGAATCTTCGATGGTGAGCACCTTTATACTCTGTGTTAACCTAACAATTCAGTGCAAACACAAACTATGACCAAATTTAGCATGCCAATTACATTTACTTACTTTCATGATGTCACGGCAATAGATAAATTAGTTTCAATAGTAAAAACTGTGCAGGGACATTTTTTCACAGGTGTAAATAGTCACTATAATGGTGTTTTACGAGCACTGCTTCTACTGTATTTCAACTTGTAACTGGGTCACAGAGCTTGCACTACCCTTCGAGAGCTTTTCAGCAGTCTTATCTATAACTCCATTAGACAAACCGAGGTAGTGATGCCAATGTTTTTTGCAAGATTTATTACCTGCCCAAAGTAAAAGCAGAACTAAGCGAGTTGATTTAGATTGTGTATAAATAGCTGCTAAATACGCATCTGAGTGAGGACTTTCATGAGGAGAGAGCTTTCAGGACTCAGCAAGGCACAGTGGCAGGTTATGAAAACAGGCATGCTGTGGACTTGAGCAATAAATGCGTTGCTCAGCAACTGCCGAGGACATTGCAGAGCAAGCACAGGCTTCCTTCAGCTTGCATTAAATCATAGCACACGGCACACTCAACCTTGTAGAGACGCGCTGCAGTGTGACGAGAGATGCACGACGAATTTCGGTCACAGACGCGTCCAGCAACTTTTGTCCCCATCAGCTAGATGATGCATGCACGCACTTTTATCTACATTATACAATATCCCAGTCATGGAAGTCAGGCCAGCCAGTGTTCACGGCATGTACATTCAGTGAAAATCATAAAGCAGTACGAGCTTTCAACTAATAAAGTACTTCTCTCATCACATCACATCAAACTCCCACTGTCTCTTTAAGTGAACTCTCGTTAACCTAACCACAGCAACCGATCTTATAGCTCGTACCCATTGTCAGTACATCGAGCAACTAGTTGTCCGCTCGGTGGCACATGACATTCCAATCTGCTTTCAAATGGATAATGAAGCAACACCTCTTGCAATAGTTATGCCTATACATTCTTTCCCTATCACAGCACATGTTTTTCAAAAAGTTTTATCAGCTACTACTTGTGCCTTCAGAATACCTGCGGTAATTTTTCTCTATTTCAAGATTTCTTTTTCATGGTCCAGCATTCTCTGACCCCCTGGCTCACGTAAACTAACTTTTTTACCGATTCAATAAGCTACCAACCAACCATTCTTACAAAGTATATATTAAATCTTCAACTAACTGTTGATATATACAATAATATTCTCCCTCGTGTGTTTTTAGTTGTCCCTAGCACGATATGCAATGGTGCAATCATCCATGCTCTCTACTTCTAAGTGATCCTTGCATGTACCTAGTCTTTTCTAATGAAATACATGAAAACATCTAGCAATGTGTCTCCCTGCCAAACGCCACCTTAGAATAATTTAATAATTGCTTCGTGGCATCGGCCATGGCTGTCAATATTTCTAACGAATTAAATGCATTTTCATAAACTATGATGACTACGTGTATAACGGCCTTCTCAAGGTAAATAGTGTAAATGTGATCTACAAACAAACATCTCTTGCTAAGAGACGGTCTTAATGAAAATAGAGTGTTGCTGCATTTATATTTGAATATCTTAATGAATATTCCGCATAATACAGAAGGCAGTCCGACGGGATAAAGCTACTCCCAAGTTTCCTTTCTTATTCTTAGATAAGGAGGCATTCTTTGGCGAACCTGGTGCACATGGTCATTGAACTATGATAATCTTGCCACTTAATATCACATTAACTGTCGTGAAATTTACTAATGCTTTCATTTTCACTTTGGCCCCTTTCATTTTGGGAGGCTTTCTAGCTTAGTACTACTTGCTCTTGGCACTTCTACAGCTTTTTTGCACTTCCATCTAGATAGAGTACAATAGTTCCATCTGCTAATACTGTCCCAATCACCTTTGCTTTAACATATAAAAGCATATGATGCATAGCAACTACACTAGTGTTCCACATACTTTTCCAGGAAGACTTTTCTTGTGGCTAGTATTGCAAAACTGCACAAAGTACAAATGAATAGTGTAGACTGCCACTTTACTACTGCAGGAATTCCCATGCCATTCTGCTGAAACATGCATGACCTACAACATGCTGTCTTAATAAACCTGTATAATCATGTACAGCATTCACAGCATATTTCATCAAGTCCATATCAGCATGTAAGGGTGACCTTTCTAACCGAGATTCATTTAATCATGCCGTTTCTTTACAGCTCAGCTGCAATACAACAGTTTACAACCACCTATACCTTGTCCGCAATGTTGTGTCCGATACCAATTTCAATTTACATGTTCATCGAACATATAGAATATTTCTGTGTGAACGCATGGACGCCTTTTAAACGATATACACGATAGTGGTTCTTGTTACCATGAGGAAGCGGA